TGCACGTACTCGTCCAACTCCCTCAGCGCGCAATCGCACGCGACCGCCTTCGCATCCTGCCGCCTGGGGCCCTCCGTGCCGGTCAGTGGGGGTAGAGTGCCTACACTGCTGCCGTCAGTGGCGCTGGAGAGGGACTCGGTCGACGCATTGCGGCCGCGCAGCCTTCCCGTTTCACCTGTGGCAAGCCAGTAGGCCTTCCGAAGCTTCGCCACCTCCCTCTGCATGACGGGGCGGTGATCGTGTATCAACTCCTGCAGATGCTCACAGGCTTGCAGGATGAGATCGAGGAGTTCGTGCATCTCCTCCGTTGTCGTCGGCTCCACAACGTAGTCCTCCGCCGGTGGGAGTGGCGTCGAGTCGTCGTCTTGGTGGCCGCCAGGCACTGCAGTGCCCTCGCCACCCCGCATCTCTTTGCTTTTTCCTCCCCCCTCTATCATTTTCTTTTGTTCCCTTTTGCGTGGCACGTAGCTTCCGCTCACGTCAAAGTAGTGGTAATAGAAAATTGTGGACGTTTGGGTGGAAGTTGGCGCGAGCAGCACAGGTGAGGGTGCAGCAGACACCAGGGTCATCGCAGTGCCTTTTGTGTAGTCTCCGCCTTCCCCTTTCTCCCCTTCTTTCTTGCATTACAACGACGTCCGTCACGTTTGCATGCCTACCTCCTCTTCCTCCTCATCCATGAACCCGTTTTCTTGCTCCACCTCTGTCGCTAACATCTCGCCATCCGCCGTCGTCGTAGTCGCCGCCGCTGCCATTGCCTTAGCGGCTTCTTCCTCCGCCGTAGCAAGCATTTCCGCCTCAATGCCCTCCACGTGCGGGGCGATGGCGTCCTGCCACCACGCAGGAGGCGCCGTCCCGTCGACTCGGAGCAATTTCTCCGCCAACGCCGCCGACGCCGCGTCCACAACCCCTGACTGGAAGGAGCGCATGTCCTTGGCGTTCTGCGCGCGCAGCGGTTCGTGGAATTCGTACGAATCCTGAAGACTGCGTACAAAGTAGTCCTCCATCGCATGCAGGCGCCGTTGCACCAGCACAGCCATCTCCGCCTCACGGTCGTAGGTTGCCTCGTCCGAGTCCTGGATTGGCGTGTCCTTCAGGGGGTCGCCCACTTCCATGCTGCTATCAAGCGGGGGAATTGGCAGCAAGACCCCACTCTCGAGGCTCATACGCTTCTCCTCCAGCGCACCCGTTTCCTTGTTGCGCACCTTCACCACGTCCAGGTTGCACAGCTGGTTCGTTGAAGGGTCCACGTGTCGCACCCGCCCAACGCTGATGGGGTGCTCCCGCTGCACCACCTGCTCCGGCCGCGTCTCTGACGCAGGTATCACCACATCCTGCACGTTAATATTTTGCACGATTATCTCATTCTTGTACTTCGTCACCGCGATGATTGCCCCACGCTGTCCCACACCCTCGCCGCTCACCACCTCCACCACATCTCCCGGATACCAGATCCAAGGCGTGATGACATAATCCGGGGCAAAGTAGCGGTACCGTGTCGACAGCTGCATCTTCTGGTGCCGTTCCAGGTCTCGGGAAATCCACTGGTTGTGGTACGTGTGGTCCTGGTAGAAATCACGTTCCTTGGGATGACGAATTGACTCAAGCATATCCAGCCGCTCCCGATCCCGCAGATCCACGGTTTCATCGCTGTGCACACCCCTGAGAAGGCCTGGCTTGACCTTCGGGCGGCGCAGCATGTTGGGACTCACATTGTACGCGCGAAGCGCTCGTTCAGGACGCTTGTAGAACTTGGAGCGTGTGCGAAAGCGGGCGTACATCTCCTAAGCTCACCGTGCACCCTCGCTAGACAACTACCCACACAGAGTACCTCTTTAATATGCCAGTATATGTGGCCTGTCGATACCGATTGGCCACAGCCCCTTCTACAGCTCTAAAGAAGAAAGAGTAAACAGTGGGGAGAGCGAGGCAGCGCGTGCAAGAGGAAGCGAAGGCAGTCGGCACACAGAGACGACGCGCTAGCGAAACACGCAATGCGGATAACACCACAGCTGAAAAATCGCAGAGGCGCAGAGCAACGGAACCAGCAATGACGCAGTGGGTGCGGGAGAGGGTTGGCGGACACAACTGACTTGTGTTGTCGCGACCGCCTGCTTCTGAAATCGCCTCACCGTAAGAAAGTGGGATGGATGCATAAACCCATCTCTTCCTGCCGGTTCCCCACTACTCCCCATTCACCTTCTCATCAAAAAAAACAAAAAAAAACACGGCCGTGGCGCCTCGTTAGTCGAGAGCATAGACAGACACACACCCTCGTCGTCTCTCACACCGCACACGTGCCTGTCCATCGGCCGACATGCCAGAGCATCGCCATCCCCACCTCTGTTTTCTTCGGTCGTCGTGACTGGAAGGAGCGGCGTCAAAGACGTTATCCATCAGAAGGCATCTGAGAAGCCCACAAAGTAGGCAGAGGCAAAACAACAAAAAATATTTAAAAAAAAAAAGAACCGCCAAGCTGCTCAAAGCTCACTTCGGACAAAAACCAATAATTCACTTGATTCGGCACTCCACACATGCCCACACTTAAACGCAGGAACCCAAGAACACGTCATGCAAAATAAAAACGGCACTGACACTCAACACTACAAACGCTAATGAATACGCAGACCACTGGACTCCACGTCGTACACAGCGCGGTACTCGTCGAAGAGCCGCTTGAGGGCCGTGACATACTTGTCGTGCCAATCCTGCAGGTCCTCTGATGTGGGCTGGGGGATCTTCGGCACTGGCAAGGGTTCCCCAACCACCACAGTGATGGGGCGGCGGTGCGGCAGGATGCCAAAGCTGTAGTTGAACCAGCCACGACCAAGGAACAGGGGAAGACCAAAGGTCGTGACTTTGCGAAACTTCTCCCCGACGCGCCTCCACCACGCAGAGCCCGCAATGCGGGGAATTCGGTAGACGTCGTTCTCCCCAAACGCGTACACGGGAACC